TACTAGTAGGTTCTTGGTATAATCAGTTTTAAATTAATCTAAATATTTTGAAAAGGTCAACGAATTCCTTATATAATACTTAAGCTTTTTAAATCGCAGATAAAAATATATCATACRTATCAAAAATTAACTAAAAAGTAGAAATTTAATTTTCATTCAAACATCCCATTTTTATCATTAGTCAGTACTAACTAGATCCAATACGATAATAGAAACACTTAAAGTTAAATCTTAAAGTATTTTTTTCACAATAAAAATTGCGTGTTGCAGTGATAACCATTCAGTACAAAACAGCAATGCATTTAATTATTACATTTTTAACTTTTTTTTTGTTTGTGTTTAATATTATTTTTCATTATTATCAATGAAACGTTGTACGTCAATGTAATATTATACTAATTTATATTACTTACTAATAAAGTAATAAATTATAAGAACSTACTTAATAAAATAAATAATAATTTGACTCATTAAGCCATATAGGTTATATACATTTACAAAAAAAATCTTTGATTTAACGTGTAATATGTAGGTGTGTCATCATGTAAAAATATGATGTCTGCCACTGTAGAGATTTTACTACAAATGTTAAGTCTAATCTATAAAACCATTGAACTAAATAATATACTATCAACATCCAACGTATTGTATTCAGTAGTAAATTAATTGATTAGGTAGATATTATATAGTGCCTACCAAGTACCAAACACTTAAATCGATAATATTTCACGTGCAACGTTAATACTATTAAAGGTGGCCTTATTAGTCTATTAATGTATTTTATCTGAAATATGGCGATTAGCGTGATACAATGGCACCATGACATGGACAGGAAGTGATTATGAATTTTAAATATATTTAACTCGGTAGTTAAATTAATTTAATGTTGTAAAACTGTCAGCCGTAATTTAAAATCATAACTGGCATATACCCAATTCTGAATATTCTGTATAATATATTATATCTTCTCCTTCAAATTGTAAAATAAATATGTCTTCACTGTATAATATAGAAGGTATAGTTAATAGTAGTGTTATATAGTCTCGTCGTAATACAAACATTCCTAATCCTAAAGTTTTTCTATAACATATACTCATAATATAATATATTCTACCGCTTTCATTAACACTTACATAACTTAGGTTGTAAATATGTATTTAACCCAAAATTTGATAAATTAATTAAAATAAATCCAAGTTTTTAGAAATTAAATGAATCAAAAATCTAGATACCTATTTATTAATAACTGTGCCTAAGCGACTAGTGTTAAAATTCTAAAAATATATGAATATCAATATTTAATAGATTTCATGATTTAATGTACTAGGAAGATCTAAGTATAAAATGTATTCCAGACGTCAGCAGGTACCGAAAAATAGACGAGTTTGGAGTTGATACTTTTAGTATGATTAATATGATTACTACACAAAAATAATTATTCCATTAATTGTTCTTATTGTTCTATTACAAAACAGATTACATAAAAACCTTATGTAACAAAAAAAAATAGATTAAATTTACCAAAGGAAGAAGCTAGAGAGAATTGATATACAGTGTGATTCACCAAGCATGCTCATCCCCCTTTTTACTTTAATAATAAATTTATTCAAATTCTGATTTTTTGAAATTTTTAAATATACTTAAAACCCATATTTTTAAATTCTTGATATATTTTTTTTTTGTATTACTTAAGGATAAGGAGCATATACTGTAGTGATACAAACTTCTGTTTTTCAAATGAACCCCCTCCTTTACTATCAATTATTATTTAGTGGTTATTTTTGTTTTGAAAACTGAAATATCTAATTTAAAACTCGAATGAGTACTTTCTCTGCAGTTATTAAAATATTTGCACTAGTTAGGATAGTAGTCCTTAAAATGGGCTTATAAAAATTTAAAATAGACGTAAAATTATATCTAGCAATTATTATATTCGAGCCATTTTTACAATTATTAATATTAATGACTGAAATATTCAAATCATCATAGATCCCACAGCTTATAAGCCCATTATTACTATGGACTCTTATTAATACTTTAGAACACAAAGTTAAACAACACAAAAACTACTTGTACAAATGTTGATTCTGATACATTAATATTTWWAAAAAAATTGTCCTCTGTATAATTTACAGTTGGAAAGGGGTGTTCTCATTTAAAAACCAGAAGTTTGTGTTTCTACAGAACATTAAGTTAAGTAGTACAAAAATCCCAATTATTTGAAAATATTGTCTTAAAATACATTTAAATATTCCAAAAATCAAATTTTGAATAATATGTTATTGAAGAAGAAAAAAGTGGTAAGCATGCTTGGTGAATCATACTATATATAGCTGGTAAAAATCATRAATTAATACTTAATAGTATTTATTATTCATGATTTTTACCAAATTACCGATGGCATAATACAATTATCGGTACACGGTATAACGACTGACTTTAAATTCCTTTAACTTAAATTGTTTTATGATCAACAAGGAATATTTAAAGACTAAAATAATAATAACTATATTGAATAATATTAAATAAAGTATAGGTACTTTTGATTTATAAATCTGTAAAAAATATTGAATGCACATTTTTTTTTAACTAGCCACTCAGGTAATTTATATAGATATTCGTAATACATCTATAAAAATGAACATAAAATATTTARTTTTCTTATTTCAATTATATATCAATATATCATATAGTTTTAGAGTTTAGTGATCCTATTTATTATGGTTCAGTATAAAAACTA